GAGGTTGGAGAGGCTCAGGGTGGGCAGGGACCGCGCAGGGCAGGCGATGCTGCTCCTGCGGCACAGTGTCCCCGCTGCGGGCAGGCACAATGCCCATGACTCATTTTTCCAAGAGATGTCACAAACAATGGGAACGATGCCCCTGGTGGGTCTGAATGTGAGGAGGCCCCGCGGGGGGGTAGCCCTGCTGGGCACCTTGTGTGTGGGCTGCCAGAGCAGGGCACAGCCAGACCTGCTGCAGCCAGTCCAGGGCGTCGAGAGAGGAGAGGATTTGTGCAGGGATTGGGAGGGATTGGGGAAAGGGTTTGGGGGGAGAATTCTGCCAGGATTTGGGGGGAATTCTGCCAAGATTCAGGGAGAACATCTGCCAGGATTCAGGGGGAATTCTTCAAGGATTCAGGGGAAATTCTGCCAGGATTTGGGGGGCAAGTTCTGCCAGGATTTGAGGGAAAACTGAGAATTTTGGGAGAAAATGCTGTGAGGATTTTGGGGAACATCTGCAAGGATTTTGGGGAACATCTGCAAGGATTTAGGGGCAAATTCTGGCAGGATTGGGGGCAAACTCTGCCAGTATTTGGGGGGAAGTTCTGCCAGGATTTGGGGGGTAAGAAGGGTAAATTGGCTGCTCAGCAAACTCCTCTCCCCATGGCATCCAAAGTGCTTGTGGTGGGCACCAACCCCTTGCCAAGGAGAGAGAAGGAGCTTTATTGCCCACGGAGGCAAATGGCAAAACCACAGTTGCCAAAAATGCTATCCCCATGTGGGACTGGAACAAGACCAGGCAGGGAATTTGGGAAGAGTTTCCAAGCTGCTCTGCCCCAGCTCCTGCCTCTCCTGTCCACACAGGATTTCCATGCTCAGATGCTGCCCTCAGGGCAAGGCTTCTAAGCCCCTTTGAGTCCTTGACCTTCCACTGTCGTCAGCTTGATACTAGTATTTTTAGGCACACAATCCTTAAAACATCCCAGCAGTGAAGCACAGGGTGGGGAGGCAGTGGGAGAAGGGAGTTCTGTGGGATCAGGGGTGGTGGCAAAGAGGAGTTTCCCCTCCTATAACCCACACACCTCATATCCCTCCTCCCTGGGCACTTATGTTACACTCAGAAGGTTACAGACCTGAAAAGATGGGAATGCTGAAGGTATCCCAAGCACAGAAACAGCCACAGACTCTTTGCAGTGCTCCTGCCAACACAGATCCATATCCTACCCAGGGATGGATCCCAGTGCATACAACACAGCCCGAGCAGGAGGGCAATATTCCCTTTGGAGAGCTCTGAGCTGCAGCAGCTGCTCTGGCTCAGAGGTTTAGGTACAAAATCATCCTCCAAGTCACTGGATCCTCCCGGAGAACCACAGAGTGTTCCCCCCTGGAGAGGCAGGAGCCTTGTGTCTCCCTCCTCGGGGAATCTTTCACAAGCACAGAGTCTCAGCCCCCAACAGGACTGGGCTGGGCCAGGGCAAGCAATTCCCCAGTGCAAGAGGGAAGAAAAGCAGCATTTTCCCAGAACTCTAATGCCACAGGCAGAGAAAAGGGACAAATATTAGCTCAAAGTAACTTCCAGTGCCCAGAAAGAAAGACTCAAACAACTGCAGAGCACCATGAGGAGCTCTTACCTGCTGCCACGACCAGGAGCTCTGTCTTACCCCACCTGTACCTCCTCAGTGCAGAGACAGGTGTCAATCCCTCCTCGTTTAAGGAAAACGAGCTCATTTCCACAAAACAGACACTGGGGGTGGTTAAACGGTACCTAAAATCACTCTCAGCTGGGGTTTGGGTTGTGGCAGGTATCTGAGTGCTGGGAGGGGTAAGAAACTCTCCCTGGCAAACCCTTCCATGGGCAATTTGATTGCTGGAGCTGTGGGAGCACTCCAGGGTGGGACTTGAGCCACAGCACGCTGGGACTCTCCTAATCATCTCACCTTAAGGCATCTCCATCCAAAAGAGACTTTCCAGCCTCCCCATCCCCCCGTGGCTGCTCCCACCCCCTGCCCTGGGTTATGCAAAAGCCCAACTGGCAAAAGCAAAGGCAAGAAGAGGCTTCGACGCAGCAGAAAGGCAAAGCAAAGGGTTTGCTTAGCACAGAACCCGCCGCAGTTTTCACTCACTCTGCCTCGTCCTCCTCACTGCCCCAGGCTCAGCGCAGCCAGCGCCTTCCACTGCTCATCCCCTCCCGCAGCACCGCGAGCTGATCAGGCTGCAGCATCGCAGTCCCGCACCAGTCAGCCCAGTTCGCTTCCTCGCAGGTCGCTGGGGAGCTGCTGGGGAGCTCTGGGAGCCGCCGAGCCCGCAGCTCCCTCTCCTGTCCACCGCTCTCTGCG